ATTTGTAACATCGCATCGTCTGATTAATGAAAAAAAGCGATTTTAACCCCACCACAGCAAATCGGAAAAACTGTTCTGTTTTTACCTCGAGTTTCCTCGTTCATATCATTCCACTGCGCACGTGGTTGACATGTGCATATATCTGTTGTGGATAGATGTGTTTATTACCATTATATTTAAATTTTCATAGAACAAGTATTGATAATTTGTTGATTTCTCTAAAACTCAAAGGGTTTAAATTGTCCTAAACATATGTGTTTACGGCGGGTTTTTTTCTGTGGCGATAGAAGTTATTTGCAAATGGGGCGCTGCAAGGAGGATGCTAAGCTTTTAATTTGAAAATGTTAAACAATATGCGGTGCATAAAAACAAATTGTAATTTCATGTATTACATTCGAAAAGTCGCAGCACATGTCTATTTTGTTTAGCAGTCAGGTAGAAAAAATAGTCAGTTATAGGATTTCCTTCAGGCACCTCACATAAACAGCTAGATCGTTTGCAATGGCCCACACATGTATAGAGTAATGTTTGGAAATATATGTTGACAAAGTTGTACGCTCCCACCAACATACGAAGTTTGATTAAATATATCGAGTTGTTTCCTTGAAATTTAGAAGAGAGCACAATGTTTGCAAAAAAAGGTCCATTGCCTATGCTATATCTATCTTAGCAAAACAAAAATTGGGAGGCTAACCCCACCGGAAAAAATCCTATATTTGTTTTTTTTCAAAATAGTGCCAAAGCTTCAAAAATTTTACCTCACTAAGTATGTGATGGAACATCTACTAGCCTTATCATGGGCGTCGGAAGCAAATTGAAAGTGGGGGGGGGGAGGGGGCTAAACCAGCAAAAAATGTAAATCCCAATTTTCAATTTCTATAGAATGTCTATATTTTGCAAAAAAAAAAAGGGGGGGGAGGGGCTAAGCTCCCCCTAGACCTCCCCCCGGTTTCGACGCCTATGCTTATTTTGTTGAGACCACTTTTATAAAAAAAAATATTGGTTGCCCTCTCCCCCGACCTACTGCCTAGAAATGGCCCAACTCATTTTTTTTCATCCCATTACACGACATTTTTTCTTTTTTATTCCGTCAACAAATTTCTTTAAATTTTAAGGAAAATTTGCTCTCACCTATAAATACGGACCCAATAATTCTTTCCTGAGTTGGGAGGACCACCAAACCTCATCTTAAAGATGGTCTATAATATTTAATTATGTTGATTCTTTTCTTTACTATGTAAAATTGTAATTTTGACAACATGAGCAAATAGAAAAAAAAATTTAATAATTATTCAGTAAATCTCTACTCAACTATAGATGATTCCATTCCTTTTGAATGGTGCTCCGATGTGATGAAAATTGTAAGTGTGTATTTGATACAGTATACTAGCAGGTATATAATAAAACAAGGTCATTCATATCGATTTTATGTGTCTAATTTTCTTTGTGTTTCATTGCTGATATTTAAGATTTTGGTAGATAAAAGAAGTTATCTGTGTCATACTAACAAACTCTTAATTTTTAACTTTGATGATGTTCATTTTTCCTTACCTGGAATCAAGGAGTTTTAGATTTTTTTTCATATCAACACGTACACTATTTAACAACTGTTTGATAATAATACATGTACTAATTACTTTAAGTCACACTATAACACAATTCCTCTTTTTAAAGTGTTAATATTATTTGAAACATTTTGCAATTTTAATTCTCTTCTACTTTTTAAGATTGTTATGTACCTCCAAAGAAGAGGTCTGGAAAAAAAATTGTGCTAAAGATAGACCACGTGCTGCTATCCAAGAACTACTTTCATGGTTCTTTATACTCATTTTGAAGACAACAGTACCTCGCTTTGAATTTGAAATTACCATTTAAAGGTGCAGAATTTAGACATTTTCTCAACAAATGCTTGTAGAGATGTCGCAGGGTGGCTGGCGGCTTCCCAAAATCACTCAATACAGTTTTGTTATATATAGTTTTATTTACAATATGTACAAACACACATACATATGGAGAATCAATGACAACCTTTGCCACTGGGACCACTATTCTCGTGTTGTCTGCCAAAACACACGTTTCTTGTCTACCTGTAAAGTTTTCCTCTTTTACCAAACTCTTGCGCACTACAATGTTTCGACATCCTGAATCTCTCAGTAAAGTAACTGGATGACCCTCAACGTAACCAGCTGAAAGAGGCATTGGTTTCGCTGTAGAATGACATGCTGATGTTAAAACGGTTGTATGGTCACTTACCTGACTATAAATAGACGGGTTTTGACTGTAAATCAGCGCTGCGCAGTTACTTGGATTTGCATCACTACCATTTGTTTGACCTTTCCCACGTTCGTCCTTGCACACTGCTGCACTTGAGTTTTTACTTTTAAATCTGCACTGGGGTGCAATGTGACCATATTTGTTACATACAAAACATTTTCTTTCATTGTTTGGAACAAACCTTGGCTTCTGTTGCTGATGCGGACGTGCATCCTTGGGTTTTTCTGGTACCTTACTTACCTCTGGTTTGTTTACTGCCTTTGAGCACAAATTGATAGCACTAGTATTTCTAGCTTCCCTAAACTGATCAGCTAACATACTCATCTGATCCAATGTCTTTGGAACATTCTGCTTGAGAAATACAGCCAATTCAAAATTACACACATGTAACATTTGATCTCTAAGCATAAGATCGAAAAGAGCCTCAAATGAACAAGTAATTTTGGACATTTCGACCCACTGAGTCAAGTAAGAAGCAAGTCTAACAGAGAACTGAGCAAATGTTCCCCAACTTCAGGTCTACAAGAACGAAATTTCTTTTTAAAACCGTCCTCTGTCATTTCGTACCTACGTAGTAAAGCTGCTTTAAGTTCATTGTAATCACTTACTTTTGACGTTGACATGAGAGCATATACATCTAGAGCTCGCCCTTTCAATAAAGCACTGAGGTGTGTCGACCATAAAGATTGCTCCCAATTCATGGCAGTTGCAAACCTCTCACACCTTCTCAAATAGCTGTCAATCTCGTCTTTGTTTTCGTCAAAAGGAGGAATTTTCGGTACACTAGGTTTTACCATAACATCACTAACCTTACCTTGTGCACTTTTGTTTGCTAGTTCTAATTCGTGTTCCTCTTGTAGCTGCTTCATCTTCATCTCATGATACATGCGTTCCATTTCTAGCTGATATTCTCGTTCTTTTTCTCTCTGTCGAGCCGCTGCTCTCTCTTCACGCTGTAATTTCTGTTGTTCTGTAACATAATTTCTTAACTCTTCTTTTTCATAACCTAACTTCTCGCCTGCAGCGATTAACTCTTGTACCGAGTCCATTTTTACGGACATGACCTTTTTAACATAACACCTAGACCTTTCTAACACCTTTGTGTGACCACTTATATACTGCACTTCTACATGTACTACTAACGACTCTACTGTACTTTGATTTCTACTTTCTATATACTGTGGCACTACATGTATAAGTACTACTAATGTCACTACTATACTCGGAATTTTACTTCCTACTGAATTTGAAAGTTTGAGATTGGGCGACACAACTGTGAATACTTTTGACTTATTTACCACACTACTTTTACCCTGACCAGTCTCCACGTACTCTGAGGAAGTCCACCCATCACTACATCTAGAAACCTTCTGGACCCCAAATGACCATGGAACATTGCCTACAATAACAGTTGCAAAAGTGAGAACAATTACAAACTTCATGTACATACAGAATACAATTAGAGAACATGTATGAAATATTCACTAGATTTCAAGGCAAGTAATTCACTATTCTAACTACTTTTATAACAAAGTCTTTTGTATGAATTGTAAAATGTTATCAGTAGTTGTTTTCTTTTTCTTACAGTTTGACAATAAATGTTTTATGTATCCTGACTTGTCCTGTGTTAACGTCGATATCCTTGGATATCCTGGGACTGAATTCCTGGGATTGGAATCCCACTTCTGACACCAATTTTGTCGCAGGGTGGCTGGCGGCTTCCCAAAATCACTCAATACAGTTTTGTTATATATAGTTTTATTTACAATATGTACAAACACACGCGTTTCTACATGGCCCAATGGCTTCCTGCTGGATGGCATAAAAGGATAACTGGCCTAAATAAATGGGGCCTATAAAATAAAACAAAGTTAGATACAGACATAATATAATTATACATATAATTGCTCATACTTGTACATTTTGCTGTACATTTACTTAGGTGCATTTTACTGCATTACACATAACATAGTTGCATTTTACTGCACTGAACTTATACTTCACTTCAAATCACTTCATACTACTTTACTTCATAGAACATTTACGTTCACACATAAACTAAGTGTATTACTTGTAGACAACCACTTTAAGACGAATACTATACTCCATACTTTATACATACAACACCACGTCTACATTAAACATATACTCATACACTTATACTTTTACTTATAACACATATACTTTACATGAGCAAATACTACTTTGAATCTAACTTACAAATGAAATTATAGAACAAAGTTCTGTGGCCATTTCAGGAATTAAAAAACCGTCAATAAATCATACAGCTTACAATAATAAATAAAATACACTTACCCAGAATAGGTGGACCTCTGGTCATGAAATATTAAAACATATATAACAAAAACAGGGGAAAACTTGAGCTGTCTTAAAACTCGACTGCTCTCTTCAGTTGCTACGCCCAATCTGATTTCACGGGATTTAAATCGCCAGGTAAAACCTGCTAAACAAGCTTAAAAGTATGGTAAACATTTTGGGCTTAAATTATTAGTTAAATAGTATTCAGATAAAAACATATGGAAATCAAATACGGACATCAATTGTGACATTACCTTCCCCCTTTAAAGAAAAATTACATACATGTAATTTTTTTTTCAAACACAATTTATGTACAAGTTTTTTTTATTACTTTTTGAAACATAAGATAAAACAAGATAAAATTCTTCTTTCATCAACTTTATTTACATACAGTTACTGACGGATTCTTACTGTCTGCTTAAATAATCCGCTCCTACATTGTCCTTCCCTCTGATAGCCCTGATGCGGAATCGGTACGGCTGAAGTGACAATGCCCATCTCATTAGTCTGGAGTTCACCAACTTCGTCTTATTTAAATATACCAGCGGATGGTGATCTGTCTCTAAAATAAACTCTTTGCCATAGAGATACCTGTGAAACTTTTGCACTGACCAAATGATACCCAAACATTCCTTTTCTGTCGTTGAGTAGTGTTCTTCACTTGGTTTTAGTTTGCGGCTGGCATAGGCAACAGGGAGTTTGAATTCACCTTCTTCCTGTAAAAGCACTGCTCCAATACCCCTGTCGGATGCGTCAGTCGGTACAATGAAAACTTTGGAAAGATCTGGTAATTTCAAAATCGGAGATTGAATAATAGATGCTTTTAGATTTTGAAATGCTAATTCCTGAGCTTCTGTCCACTGAATTTTACTAGGAGCGAACTTTCTTGTGAGGTCTGTTAATGGAAGAGCTATATGGGCAAAATTCGGGATAAACTTTCTGTAAAAATTTACCAGTCCTAGAAAAGATCGCAGTTGTTTTTTCGTCGTAGGATGGTTCGCCTGTTGTATAGCCGACACTTTATCTGGATGAGGATGTACTTTGTCATCGCCTATGATATGGCCCAAACACTCCAGTTTCCGATAAGCCAAAGAACATTTCATTGGTCTGGCGGTGAGATTCGCTGAACGGAGACGCTATAAAACCTGAGAAAGCACAGAGATATGTTGATCAAAAGTGTGAGTAAATATCAAGATATCATCTATGAAATTATCAACATTAGAAACGTTGTTGAGCACCTCGCGCATGAGACGACAAAAAGTAGCCGGAGCTGTGACCAGCCCGAACGGCATTTTGGTGAACTGGAAAAGACCTTGGGGAGTCTGAAAAGCTGTCATTGGACGGGCAGAATCAGACAACGGCACTTGCCAGTACCCCTTTGACAAATCTAACCGTGAGAAGTATTTATGACCTGATAATTTCGCAAACATTGCGTCAACATCAGGCATAGGCTCCGCATCAAACACAGTAATGCGATTCAGAGCTCTAAAATCGACGCAAAACCGATATGTGTTGTCCTTCTTTGCAACAAGGACTATTGGGGATGAATATGGGCTTTCCGAATATTCTATTACCCCGATTTCTAACATTTTACATACCTCATCTTTCACCGTTTCCATCATAGCAAAAGGGATTTGTCTCGGACTTACTCTGACAGGTTTATCCGTTGTTGTCCTGATTTCATGTTCAAGCACATGTGTGTGGCCTGGTACATCTGTTAAAACATCACTATACCTGTATAAAAGATCCATAAGAGTTTGTCTCTCCTCTCTGTTGAGATCTGGATTCACATCTACATCTTTGTAGGATTCTCGAGACTGTACGTGTACGAACTCTGCTTCTTCATCATACTCACCAACTGATTCATCAAACTGAATTTGTTCTGAATCTACAACTGACATAACACATTGAACAACTGGTTCACAACGTTCTACATATCTTTTTAACATGTTTGCGTGATAGGTCTTAACTTTTCCCTTCACGTCTAACTGATAGTCTACTTTACCTATCTTTTTCACAATTTGAAAAGGGCCTTTCCATTGCATAAGGAGCTTATTACTATCAGAAGGCAACAAAACCAAAACTTTCTCACCTGGTTTCATATTTCGTACTCTAGCCTTCTTGTCAAAGTACACTTTGTGTCTTTGTGACGCCCTCTTAAGATTCTCCTGTGCCAACTCCCAAGTTGACTCCAATCGCTCGCGGAGATCTAAAATGTACTGGTAGGTAGACTTTACCTGTTGATCTGGAATTTCTTTCGTCCATAGTTCTTTCAGGATCGTCATGGGTCCTCTTACCGTACGACCATATAACAACTCAAAGGGAGCAAAGCCCAAACTTTCCTGGGGCACCTCACGATAGGCAAAAAGCACAGTGGGTAGATATTTTTCCCAGTCTCTTGGTCTATCAATACACATACGTTTAAGCATTTGCTTAAGAGTGCCGTTAAAACGTTCAACTAACCCGTTGCACATAGGGTGATACGGAGTAGTTGTTAACTGTTTCAACGAAATGAGTCTACTCACCTCTTTCATGAGCCCGGAAGTAAATTGACTTCCCATGTCTGTTAATATTTCCTCCGGAATACCTGTATAGGAGAACATCTCAAGTAAGGCCTCAGCAACCCGCTCTGTGTCTATTCCTGGAAGCGCCTTCGCTTGTGGAAATCTTGTGGCGTAATCGACTAAAGTCAAAATAAAACGATTACCTTTTTCAGTTGGAGGGTGTAGTGGACCTACAATGTCTACAGCAACTCTTTTAAAAGGAACGTCTATTAAAGGCATTCTACCTAAAGGAACTTTATTTACCGTACCCTTAGACACCGTTCTTTGACATGTATCACATGACCTACAAAATCGTTTAATTTCCGACTGCATTCCTGGCCAAAAGAACTCTGACAAAATCCTAGAAATGGTTCTACTAATCGCTAGATGACCAGACATGATTGATTCATGGGCTAATTTCATTACAATATGACGAAACTTTGATGGAACTATAAGTTGAGAATAGGTCTTACCACCGTCTTTTTCTGCTGACACATATTCCCTGTACAGAAGACCATTCTTTTCAAACCATTTGACCTTACCATCACGTGAAGTACGACCTTCCTGTGCATATCTGCGTGCTGTTTCGAGTGACGGATCTGACTGCTGTTCTCGCAATATGTCATCTGTGTTGATTTCATCTTTGACAATATCTGGCACTTTAAGTGGTTTATACTTTTTCTGTTTTTCTTTTACCTGTTGTCTTGTTTCAACCGCTGTGATAGTGTTAGGTTTCCATTCTGGATCCGGATCATGAGGTTTCCTCGCATTCTCTACTTCACCTATAATCAGATCAAAGACAGGATTTTCCATACACCAACATTCATACTCACCTGATACATATGGAGAATCAATGACAACCTTTGCCACTGGGACCACTATTCTCGTGTTGTCTGCCAAAACACACGTTTCTTGTCTACCTGTAAAGTTTTCCTCTTTTACCAAACTCTTGCGCACTACAATGTTTCGACATCCTGAATCTCTCAGTAAAGTAACTGGATGACCTTCAACGTAACCAGCTGAAAGAGGCATTGGTTTCGCTGTAGAATGACATGCTGATGTTAAAACGGTTGTATGGTCACTTACCTGACTATAAATAGACGGGTTTTGACTGTAAATCAGCGCTGCGCAGGTACTTGGATTTGTATTACTACCATTTGTTTGACCTTTCCCACATTCGTCCTTGCACACTGCTGCACTTGAGTTTTTACTTTTAAATCTGCACTGGGGTGCAATGTGACCATATTTGTTACACACAAAACATTTTCTTTCATTGTTTGGAACAAACCTTGGCTTCTGTTGCTGATGCTGACGTGCATCTTTGGGTTTTTCTGGTACCTTACTTACCTCTGGTTTGTTCACTGCCTTTGAACACAAATTGATAGCACTAGTATTTCTAGCTTCCCTAAACTGATCAGCTAACATACTCATCTGATCCACTGTCTTTGGAACATTCTGCTTCAGAAATACAGCCAATTCAAAATTGCACACATGTAACATTTGATCTCTAAGCATAAGATCGAAAAGAGCCTCAAATGAACAAGTAATTTTGGACATTTCTACCCACCGAGTCAAGTAAGAAGCAAGTCTAACAGTGAACTGATAAAATGTTTCCCCAACTTCAGGTCTACAAGAACGAAATTTCTTTTTAAAACCATCCTCTGTCATTTCGTACCTACTTAGTAAAGCTGCTTTAAGTTCATCGTAGTCACTTACTTTTGACGTGGACATAAGAGCATATACATCTAGAGCTCGTCCTTTCAATAAAGCGCTGAGGTGTGTTGACCATAAAGATTGCTCCCAATTCATGGCAGTCGCAAACCTCTCAAACCTTCTCAAATAGCTATCAATCTCTTCTTTGTTCTCGTCAAAAGGAGGAATTTTCGGTACACTAGGTTTTACCATAACATCACTAACCTTACCTTGTGCACTTTTGTTTGCTAGTTCTAATTCGTGTTCCTCTTGTAGCTGCTTCATCTTCATCTCATGATACATGCGTTCCATCTCTAGCTGATATTCTCGTTCTTCTTTTTCTCTCTGTCGAGCCGCTGCTCTCTCTTCACGCTGTAATTTCTGTTGCTCTGTAACATAATTTCTTAACTCTTCTTTTTCATAACCTAACTTTTCGCCTGCAGCGATTAAATCTTGTACTGAGTCCATTTTTACGGACATGACCTTTTTAACATAACACCTAGACCTTTCTAACACCTTTGTGTGACCACTTCTATACTGCACTTCTACATGTACTACTAATGTGTCTACTATACTTTGAATTCTACTTTCTATATACTGTGGTACTACATGTATAAGTACTACTAATGTCACTACTATACTCGGAATTTTACTTCCTACTGGATTTGAAAGTTTGAGATTGGGCGACACAACTGTTAATACTTTTGACTTATTTACCACACTACTTTTACCCTGACCAGTCTCCACGTACACTGAGGAAGTCCACCCCTCACTACTTCTAGAAACCTTCTGGACCCCAAATGACCAAGGAACATTGCCTACAATAACAATTGCAAAAGTGAGTACAATTACAAACTTCATGTACATACAGAATACAATTAGAAAACATGTATGAAATATTCACTAGATTTCAAGGCAAGTAATTCACTATTCTAACTACTTTTATAACAAAGTCTTTTGTATGAATTGTAAAATGTTTTCAGTAGTTGTTTCTTTTTCTTACAATTTGACAATAAATGTTTTATTTGAAATAAACAGTTAAGAAAGTTTCCTGTTGGATGAATTCAAGTGGTCTTGCTTTAGGACATCAGGCACATCATGTCGGTGACATGTAGATTTCCTCTGCGAGGTTCCATAACTGAAGACACCACTTGTATTTGAAATCTGTTTCCAGGTTGACTGTGTATCCTGACTTGTCCTGTGTTAACGTCGATATCCTTGGATATCCTGGGACTGAATTCCTGGGATTGGTATCCCACTTCTGACACCAATTTTGTCGCAGGGTGGCTGGCGGCTTCCCAAAATCACTCAATACAGTTTTGTTATATATAGTTTTATTTACAATATGTACAAACACACGCGTTTCTACATGGCCCAATGGCTTCCTGCTGGATGGCATAAAAGGATAACTGGCCTAAATAAATGGGGCCTATAAAATAAAACAAAGTTAGATACAGACATAATATAATTATACATATAATTGCTCATACTTGTACATTTTGCTGTACATTACTTAGGTGCATTTTACTGCATTACACATTACATAGTTGCATTTTACTGCACTGAACTTATACTTCACTTCAAATCACTTCATACTACTTTACTTTATAGAACATTATACGTTCACACATAAACTAAGTGTATTACTTGTAGACAACCACTTTAAGACGAATACTATACTCCATACTTTATACATACAACACTACGTCTACATTAAACATATACTCATACACTTATACTTTTACTTATAACACATATACTTTACATGAGCAAATACTACTTTGAATCTAACTTACGAATGAAATTATAGAACAAAGTTCTGTGGCCATTTCAGGAATAAAAACCGTCAATAAATCATACAGCTTACAATAATAAATAAAATACACTTACCCAGAATAGGTGGACCTCTGGTCATGAAATATTAATAAAATATATAACTAAACAGGGGAAAACTTGAGCTGTCTTAGAACTCTACTGCTCTCTTCAGTTGCTACGCCCAATCTGATTTCACGGGATTTTAAATCGCCAGGTAAAACCTGCTGAACAAGCTTAAAAGTATGGTAAACATATTGGGCTTAAATTATTAGTTAAATAGTTATCAGATAAAAACATATGGAATTCAAATACGGACATCAATTTTCACCACGCTATCTTCAGTAGGAAATGATATTTTATAGATAAATTCATAAAAGTTCCTGTAGAGTCATGTTCATCTCTAAGTGAAGATCAAGGTTTCTGAAAAACATAACTCTATGCATAATAATTTTGCGCAAACTATTGCGAATTAACATAAACAATTCGCGTCAGTTGCAAGTTATATCGCGAAATTGTTGAGTTTGTTACGCGTTATAACGGGAAATTTTCGCGTTTATTCGCGGAGTTTTGCGGTTTTTCGCTAAGTTACGCGTTAAAACGCGAAAACTTCGCGTTAAATCGCAAAAGTTTTCCGTTGTAACGCAAAAGGTACGTGTTTGTTTTCGAAAGTTTCGCGTCCTTACGCGAAAAATTTTTTTTCAACTTATGAAAAATGAGCCTTATTCGCTTTAGTACGTTAAAGATGCTTTCAGTTAAGTTTTAAAACAAATTTTCTGTCCCCCCCTCCCCCCTTAAAAAAAAAGAGACTACCAGACTACGTGCCTGATCTAAAAGTTGTTTTCAGATGGGTTTTCAAACTATTTTTCTGAAGCCCTCCCTTAGAAAAAAAACACAGACTACCAGACTATGTTCCCGCTCTAAAGGTTTTAGATGTCCAGTTGAGGGAAATAAGTATTCGTTTTTAGTGATTTAAGGATGAAAAATATGTTTCCCTAACGCAATAGGTATGTAATATCAGTAATAAATGGAAACAATTCATTGCTTGGGAAAACAGTCTATTGGTAGTCGACCCATTTTTTGAAAAATTGTCATGTTTTACCATAATGTTTTAATTTTAAATCAACGAATCTCGTCCAAACCGTACATGTATCACAATGTAATCCAGAAACATGACGTTATTTTTCTTGCGCATTAAAACATTCTGTTATTATGCTTTGTTTTATGGATTAATATTATATATTTGATTTCTAAAGTTTTATTTTGCTATATTTTGCTAGTTATAAGGAGGTATATAATAAATTTATCATTATAACAGTAACTTGATCCGAAGAGCCATATCACGTCGAGTTGACAGGCGCGGATCATCAGATCAAACTCGACGCTTCGCGTCTCGTTAGATCTGATGATCCGTGCCTGTCACTCGACGTAATACGACCCTTCGGATCAAGTTACTGTTATAATATTTGTATATATATATATATAGGTGACAGTTTGGCTTATCACAATGGAGTGAAATTTAGTACCAAGGACCAGGACAATGACTTGAGTACACGCAACTGTGCTATGCAATTTTACGGAGGCTGGTGGTACAAAGACAGCCACTCGACAAACCTGAACGGACTGTATGCACAGTCTGCCTTGTCTGACTGGAAATACCCGATATGGAATCACTGGAAAAGATCATTGGAAGCATTAAAACAGACTCAGATGATGATCAGACGGAAGAACTAGAGAGTTAATGTATCATCAATCCTGATATATTTTTAATGAAGTTGAGAGTCAAGTTTTGTTACAAAAAAGAGTTTAAGCATCTCTGTATGATTTCCTTCTTACTCAAAAATAAATCTAATTTTAAACAAGGTAATTGAGAACCTACATCTAAATTTCAGAGAAAATCAGGTAAAAAGAGTTAAGGCCTTTAAAATGCAATTGAATTCTATCTTGTAATTTTTATTTAGATAGTTACATACACATGTACCATAGTTAAATACTTACATATAATATCTTTGAATTCTTAATTGTGATATTATAGACTTAAACATTGGCTTATTTAATCGTGTTTTTTTTCTCGACTTTGACATATTCACCTTCTTCCCTGGAACTTATGCACCAAATCTAACAATTTTTGGCATAACGGTATTGTTTTTATGAATTGTAACCCTGAATACTGTTTGTTATATCAATTTTTCATCTATAAGTGACCGAAAAAATGTAAATTGAATGTTCCTTGATATTATGATGTTAAAAATTTTGTGATCATGCAAACTGCTTTAATTATAGGAATTGTAAACATTACATATAGTAAAAAAAAATTCAGTTGAAATTGTGTCCATGCCCCTTAACAAATCTATCCTATTGATAAGACCTCTTGAACTCCATAAGGAGCCTTTTGAGGTGGGACCCAATCCACCAAAAATCAATATTTAAAACTCTCCTTTACTCCTTTTGTATGAAGTAATCAAACTGTTGGCATGATTGTAAAAAAAAACACTGAGTCCTCTACCAAAGTTTTGAGTTTCAAGGTCCAAGGGACAGAGGGTCTGGTACTATAGGACCGGGCTGTTAATCGTATAGTGGAAATGCATTATTTTTTTTTGAAAACCTTCTTTTCTGTCCCATTGAATAAATCAATCTATCCAAAAACATAGCTACAATGATCAAGGATGCCTCTTCTAAAATTTTGAATTTTGTGGACCCATGAAGAGGAATTTAGCAGGGGGGGGGGGGGGGGGCTCTATTGATTATTTAGTGAAAGTGCATTATTTCGTCAAACATCGTCTTTTCTCCTGCTTTCTATTATAAAGACTAACGAATTTTTAGTTATGTTGAGTATGGTTTTCTTCCGAGATTGTGAAATCCTTGGCCTCAGGCTCAGATACTCTGGTGTCATATTGGGGCATTATTTATTATACAGCAAGAATTCATCAAATCTTTGAAATATTCTTCTCAGCTCCTTGTTAGTATGTAACGAACATTCAATTGAATAATCATGTCTGTTTTTTTTCCATTGGGGGATGGGGGGGTTTTCAACTTCATATCAAATTGATCTTCAATTAAGTGCATAGTTCTGATAGTTCGAAACAATAAAAACTATTGTTTTGTTAATAGTCTGCAGGGTGATAGTGATAAATGGGGGCAAGAGGAATTTATTTTATATGCTGTCACTGAGATCTAGACTCATTATTTCGTTGATCCTCATCATCCTTTTTTTCTTGTTTTGGGATAATAAAGCTTTATCCAACAGTTTAATTTAAACTTCTATAGATCATCTAAATTGTATTATACTAAGGCAACTGAGAAGGCCCTTGGACCTCTTGTTTACAAATTAATGTAAATATAAGGAATCACGTTCACGTTTGTAAATAGGAAAGTTTGTTGGGAATGCCAGGATTAATAACGACAGATGGAAGCAAAAGGATATTTATGTATACTGGACTTTTTTTCCAAAAGACAAAATCTCAGCGTTTCCAAATATCGTTTATTCCCTGGCATACCAAAGCAGACGAGAGTGATTCATTAAATGTTGTAAAAATAAGAATTTGTAATCAGACATTTTTATATTACCACATTAATGTAGTACAGACAAGAGTTATAATTAGTCAATGCTTCAATACTACATTAATGTTGTACAAAATAGACTTGAATTGTGTCAGTTTTTAAAACAATGTTGTAAAAATTGTATTATGTAATTTTCAGCACATCTGAGCTGAATTCTCAAGTGAGCATTTCTGATCACCTGTTGTCCGTCGTCAGTCCGTCCGTCTATAAACTTTTCGCATTTTCAACTGCTTCTCAAGAATTTCTGGGCCAATTTTAATCAAATCTACTAAAATGTATTTTCTGGGTAAAGGGGGGTTTGAATTGTTTAAAGAAGGTCAGTGACCTTACAATGGGAGATTACAGGAAACCTATGCAAAATATTCGTTGATGGCGTAGATTCTAAAGTTTTCAAAACATGACCCTGAAGCCACAATTTGGAATCAAAGCATTACATAGAAATATATAGAAAAAATCTTTAAAAACTTTCTTCTAAAGAACCACTGGGTCAAAAAAGATGAAACTTTTCTGGAAGCATCCTTGGCTAGTGTAGATGCTAAATTGTTCAAATCATAACCCCCGGGGGTAGGATAATGTCACAACAGGGAATCAAAGTTTACAATTCATATGTAGGAAAAAATCTTTTAATTTCTTTCTAAAGAACCACTGGGCAGGAAAAGCTGAAAAATATGTAGAAGCATCCTAGGATAGGGTAGATTCTAAATTGTCCAAATCTTAACCAGTGTGGATAGTAGAGGCCCAATTGAGAATCCAAGTTTTACATTTCAATATATAGGGGGAAATGTTTTTATATCTTTTCCTGAAGTATCACTAGGCCAAAATAGTAAAACATATGAACCCTGGGGGTCATAATTGGAAATCAAAGTTTTACATTGAAATATATCCAAAAAAAAAATCTTCCACTCAAGGTACATTGGGCCAGAAAAGATTAAACTTATTTGGAAGCACTCTGGGGAAGTGTAAATTCTAAATTATTCAAATTATGACCCCAGGGGTGGGTGGGACCACAATATTTGAATCTTAAATTTTACATTGAAATATATAGGAAAATATTTCATAAGAACCAATAAGCCAGAAAAACTAATATGTATGTGGTAGCATCCCGCGGTAAAGTGGATTCTAAATTGTTCAAACCATGACCATCCGGGGTGGGGGTTAGGTTGGGGCAACAATAGGTAATGGGGAAAATCTGGTAATGAACAGAAGGGCAAAAGTTACTCAGGTGAGCGTTGTAGCCCATTGGCCTCTTGTAAAGGCATTAGAGACTGCAGTGTTATAAAACATAATGTAATGTAGTTTAGATTTTGTAATCTGTAAAAGTTTTGTGTTTATTTGGGTTACGAAAATCCTAAATATTTTTTATTAATATTAGCATTTGGGGAAAACACGGGTATCTGGAAACACCAGGGGAGAAAAGATTTTTATCTAAAGTTGATTTTTGATAAACCTTAATGACCACAAGGTTTTATATCTGATAAAAACTTAGAAACAAGTTGACGTTTTGAAAAACAAGTTAGAAAAGTTCATTTTAGACATCTGGGT